GGTGCCTTCACCCCGATGCTGCCAAGGCACGAGCTGAAGCACTAGGCGACGAGCTTCCCGCCTGGTATGCTGAGGCTTTGGATGGCGAAGATAGGAAGTTTTTCGACGAACTGATATGGGAGCACCCCGGGAGTACCTGGCCCCCCCCCCCTCGACGAACCCGAACCCCACCCTCTTCGACGGGGAAGGTAAGGAGGTTCCTTGGGATTCGATTGACCTTCGGGGGCTCGATGTCTGCGTTGATGGTTCGGCGTTTCGACACCCGATTCGTGAGCTTTCGAGGGCCGCCTATTCGTGGATCTTCCTGGGGCCCGAGAATGATAAGAGAATTGCCACTGCCCAAGGTACTGTTCTTGACACCCTCCCCCAGACCCCCCAAGCTGCTGAACAGCAGGCGATGGCCCTCCCCCCCATGTTCCAGGACTACGGGGGGGACAGGTACGGGGATAGCATGACGGTAATCAAGATGTGCACGTCGCCCGTGGTCAACCAGTGCTCGAGGAAGCACCGCTATGCTGGCCTAAGACGTGGATCTCTTTTGCACGAGCGAGCTGGACACCAGCCGCAGTTTCATCACACTCCAGCACATCGTGCGCTGGCCAAGATTGACGAGCTTCCCGCGGGAGAGAAGAGAATCGCGCTGGGAAGCTGGTATGCAGATGCCCAGGCCAAGAGAGCTCTCCTCGACCACCCCCAACCCTCCTCCGCTGAAGAAAAAGAGGTCGAGTGCAGGCTTAGTCAGTTAAAGACAATTGCCCGAGTTATGGGTAAAGTCTTATCAGTTTTTCCTTTAGAGAAGTTTGACCGTGTTACGAGTTCAGGTCCGAGGGCCAAGTTTTTGAAATCTGGAGGTTGGCACGCGTGGCAAGAGTTAGGTAATGATCGTGCGCGATGCCTCAGATGTTTAACCCTCGCTAGAGACCAGGACTCCAGACCCATGATAGGCTGTAAAGGCATGAGTAGGACCTTGAAGCGAACACTCGACATGTCTCTTGGCCACACCCTCGCACACTGCACTGTTGTTCGAGGGACGGAGCAGAAGGTTTTGTTTTTTTCTGCACTGTCTGCGGGGCCCATTCCACCCGCAGATGCAGACTCTTAGGCCGATAGTGCCAGCAACGCAAGCTTGCTGGAGGTGCCACGAGTCTAAGACGCATCTACGACGGCCTTTTCCCTCAAGCCAATGTGCAGGCTGAGGTTTCGACAACTTCTCGGAGAGGAGTTGCCAATTTGTGTTACGCTGCCGCGTTACCCCCGCCCGAGGAGGTCACGCTGCACCAGCCTGCGTTGCCAGGCCTCATCCAGACGGACGGGATGCGTGCGATCAGCCAGCGTGTTCTTGCCAGAGGGGAAGCTGCTAGGGCAGCTGCCTCCTCAAGCACGTAGGTTTCAACAAACATGGTTCGGCCCCTTGGGGCCCCCAAAAAAAAAGAAAAAAAAAGGATGGTCGGCTGGCATGTCCGTAGGGAACTTGAACCCGTCTTTCGTAGCTATGTGTTTAGGTGGTCGGAGGGTGAAGTGAGGTCCGTCGGGATTGGGTATTTTCATTGTCGGTTGCGGGTGAATGTACGTGGGGTTGCGCGTGTTGTGTGTGATGTGGGCATTGGGGTATGAAACCTGAATGGGTGTGGAAGACAGGTGGTAAAGTGTGCGGGGCGAAGTGGGGTTGTCCGATGTCGGTGCGGCCAGTTCGTATTGCGTTGGACGTGATGGGCCTTCGTAATGGACAGATTTGGCACGTGCTGTGCCAGTCCGTTGGTTTAGGAGTTCACACTCATTGTCGGATGGGTCTTGTAGCTCCGCGTCTTCTGGTTGTTGATGCGTGGATGGTGGTGTGATGTGTCTCCTTTGTTTTTCGATGGTGCAGGTAGCCCAGGGTGGGTCTAGGGTTGATGCGCCTGGTGTGTGGAGTGCATCTGCTAAGTAGTTAGTAAGTGAGTAAGTACATCCCTGAGCCCAGGGTGACATTGGGGTCGGTAATGGTGCTAATGAATGTGGTGCGGTCGTAGTGCTTGTCGTTGTATGTGAATGTGGTACGTATGCTGTAGTCTTTGTCCATCTGGAACTCGTACCTCTTGTCGCCTTGTTGGTTGTAGATGTTGTAGAGCGTCTCATTGAGGTTCCTCTCTGTGCCATCTTCGTTGAAGTAGGCGTACCTGAGCCGTGCCATGTTGTTGCCGATGTCGCTGTCAAGTTCGTCCCAGGTCAGGTGTACAAGTGGCACTCGTCGAACGTTGCGTGGTGGTTCTCCATGGTCGTCGAATGGTTTCTGGTCGAGTCGGTAGTCAGTTTTCCTGTCGGATGGTATGCAGGCTGGCCTCTGCGACCAGCACGTTTCGATGCTGGTGCGCGAGGAGTCGCACTTCCATCCGTCGAGGGTTTGCTGGAGCCGTTGCTGTAGTAGGGTGAAATACTTTCTGTTGATGTCTGGTAGGTATGCAATCGTGATATGTGTCTCCCTCTTGACGCGTGCCCATCCTGTGGCAGTGGGCACTGGTATGTACTCGTAGCCCGCGTGCAGGGAGATGTACATGAAGTACTTGTCGATTCTGACGTCGGTGGTCTTGTCCTGCTCATTGAGCTGTACCTGTGCTCGTAGTAGCTGTGCTGAGTCAGGGTCGTGCTTTGTGGGTGTCGCCGTACGTGGTAGTTTTTAAATTTGCTCTCAGCTCCGCGTTTTGAGTAGACGTGGTAACTCGTCGGTACCGCAGTCCTCGTTTTGCTGTGGATTGTCGGTATTGTTGTTCAATTAGTATATTCTTGTTTTTCGTTCGTTGTTCGTCCGATTTCTCGGAGTAGGTCATGAATGGACAGCGAGGGAAGGTACATGAACCTCGCTGCGCTGGCCCACTGGTCAACATGGACGGCGAACGTGTCATCAGACGATGGCGCATATGGGGCTTGCCGTGGTAGCACGGCACCATGGCGAATGACAATTGCGGGCATTGTAATAGTTGTTGTTTGAGCCTGGCAGCTACGGTGTAAGAAGGGGTAGTACATTTGTGCAGAAGGTTCGACCAGGCCGGCAGTGTCAGGACTGGTTTCTGAAGTACTTTCTGAGCCCCTACCTGAGGTACGCCTTGCGGCTCCCATGCCAGGTATGGTGCAGGTACGGTGCAAGTATTTGTCGTGTTGATTTGCTGGTGTGTGTGTGCGTTTCGCATCGCAGTGCTAGACCGTGCTCGTAAGACAGAGATGCGCGACACAAAGTTGGAACCAAAAGGGGCAACGGCTTAGTGCATATAATTGCAATGCTCGTGTTTTATATTGGTTGCCTGTTGTCCTTGGCTTCTTGACAAATGTCCTCGGTGCGTCTATCACATATATAGAACTATGTATATATGTGACGATGCACCTATAACGCAGATGCCCATGTATGTTGCCCCGTCCGCAGCACCAGAAGTCTCAATGATGCGAACAGCAGAGGTAGGACAAAGTGGAAAGAGAGGCTCGTCCAGCATACGTGTTCCCTTGTGCATTGCCTTCGCCTCTCCCCCAGGTACGCCCTGTAGGGCTCCCAGGCAAGGTAAGAGGCATGTCGACTGTGTTGACGTGTTGCTAGTCGTGGTGCGAGTGCTGTGGTGCTGTAGGAGGTCTCTGTTGATGCATGCCGTCTCTTGCGCCTGTAGGGTGCCTACCTGAGGTATGCCCGATGGCTCCCATGCCAAATATGGCGGAGGCGCACGAGTCCGTCTTGTCCTGGAAGTCTGCGTGGGTTTGTGTGGTGAATGCTGGTCAACTGGTGTGAGTGTTGCGCACCGTAGTGCTGGACAGTGCTGGTAAGACAGAGAAAGTGTGAAGCCAGTGTTGGAGCCAAAAAAACAACGGCTTAATGCGCCAGGAACGTGTCGGTCATCAGAGTTGTCTTCAGCGGTGCTGCGAATATCAAGGGTAACACATACAGAGGTAAGCTGCAGATGTGAGGAATGAACCATGTCATGTACAGATAGCGTGGAGAAGTCTGTCCAACATGCTGCGGTCGAACGTCCGACGACGACGGCACTCTCGAGCAGCTCAGGACGAGGACGACGGCGGCGAGGACGACGACGACGGCGGCGGTCTCAGGAGGTCCCCGCAGGTTCTTGCCGGCCTCCAGGGGCGTCCGGAGGCCTTGCGAGAGGAGCCTCTCCACGAGCGCCTCTCGGGCTCGGCATCGGCTCACGGCGACGACCACGACGACGGCGACGACGGCGGCGAGGACGACGACGACCACGGGGAGGGCCGGAAGCCTGGCCCCGGGAGGGCTGAGGGCGTCCAAGGAATGCCAGCCCTTGAGTCTCCGAGCTTCGATTCTCCAGCGATCGATCGACGGCAGCGGCGGCGGCGACGACGGCGGCGACGGCGACGGCGACGGCGACGGCGACGGCGACGACGAACGTCGTCAAGATGCCTCTAGCGACCTCTGGCAGTCCTCCGAAAGCCTTCCGAATGTTATGTTGATTGGGTGGCTGCTCAGTCTCTGCGCTGGCGCCCGTCTTTGGCAACGGGGCGCGTCTCCACCCCAAAAACCGCAGGCCCTTCGTGCGAGGGGGGGCTCCATCCACAGGCATCGCCCAGCGGATCGCTCGTCGGGGACCTCGGCAGGCGGCGGATATAGACATGTTTCGACCTGGTCGCCGCGTTCCTGCTCGCCGCCGCGATGGCAGGGTGATCGGCCGCACGGCATAAGCCCGTTTGTGAATTCTTCACACTACAGTTCTTGAGTTTGCTCCGGCATCCTTGACGGATAAATGTTTCGACCTCGGGGTGGGGGTGTGGGGGGGGGGCACACCTTTTTTGGAAGGGGTGTCCGCGGCGACGGCGGGCGCCAACGCGTTCGGTCAGCCAGCGGGCCGCGCTGTGCACAGGCTCGTTGGGCAAGTGGAAAAGCAGAGGACGGCTCTGGATGGGGGAGCGCGGGGGGAGGCCTCAGGCGCAGGGAATCTCCGCCATGAGGAGTGTGCAGGCGGCCGCAGGCACTGAAAACCGTAAACAGGGGGGCCAAAACACATCAGTATGCACCACCTTCCAAGGTCTCCGAGAATGGATCCCCCAAGGACATCTTGGCTAAAGTTTGGCCCAAGGCTCCCGCACTCGTGGCCTCTGCGCGTTTGGGCGTGGCATGAGGCATGGTAGCCACGCACGCCGTCGCGCGGACTTGCCCATCCGCTATCGCTCCTCTCGCGGTGTTTTGGCTGCTGGCCAGCCTTGCACGTGGCAACGCGACTGACAATATCTATGGTATGAGCAATGTCTTGAATAACACCGCCAGCCATCGCCTTGTCAGCTTTTTTTGGGGCAGTGGCTGTCACAATCTGTGGAGTGCAGATGTCACGCGAGCCTGGGTAGTACAAGAGGTCATACCTTTTGAAGTGGACTTAACGCACTGGCGGTTTCAAGTTCAAATTGACTTTCGCAGATCTCCTTTTGCAGAAACAAGGGATGATCTCATTTCGCAGAGTTTCGCAGGCAGGGGTATTGTTTCAACCGATCTGAACAACAATGGCATTTGGACGGTGCTGTCGGGAGGTCCTGCTGTCATCCACTGCGACCCAGTGGATGATGATCTGGATGCGGTCCACATCCCCGTCGAAACTCCTGGTGGCAAGATTTACTTCACGCTCTCCTTGTGCTTCTTGGCGGGTACGTTTTGGTATTTGCGGCAGCTTGTTTTTGTCAAAGGGGAAGAGTATCAATATAGGTGGTTGCATGTAAGTGGTCTTGTGCCCGTATTGTTATATCTCGTTACGCACATGGTTGTCGCGTTCAGGCCGGCTGAGTTGTGGTGGGATTGGTCTAGATACATGATGCGTTCTCCTGGTTCGGTGAAGAGAGTCGAGGTGCAGGGGGTTCGGAGCGGAATCAAATTGGAAGACATAAAGAGATTCGCTTTATCATATTTGCAGGTGCACCACACCTATCTCCCCACTTCCGACAACTGTCAGGCCTACGCACGTGCATTGGCAGAATACGTGGGCAACGGTGGAACACAGTTGCTCATACAGACGGTTGCAAACGCCGTTGGCGAGCCATTCATGCTTCGCTTCTTCGTGCATGTATGTCTAGTCATTTCCTTATTTGTGATGAGCAATATGTTTATCCTGAGCATGAACAGCGAATATAGTGCGGACATCGCCTGCCAGCGTATAACAAACATGTGCCTGTCTGAGCTGCCTAAGAGGTGGGCTGACACGCTGTCTAACATCATCGGCTTGAGCAGGTATCTTGTGGTGCTTCAACTGTGCATCAGTGTGGTCTGTGGTATGTTCGCAGCCGTCTTGGGAGATGTAAGTCTGCTACCTATCTGTATCGCAATGCTCATGTTCGGACTCTGGTCCGCGTGCAGTGGTTTGTTCTTCGGGCTTGTGGACAATCCCCCACCCCTGCCGCAATGTTTTCAGACAGTCGCGCAGGAAAAAGCAATGCTCAGGCTGTGTAAGTTCTATGTGATCACGTATCTCATCGTGGCCGTCCTCTACTGCACGTTGCCTGACGTGCGCCAGGACATATATAAGCGGAATCACACTATTGCGATCATGGAGAATGTGTTGTCGTTGTTCTGGATCATGGCGTCCGCGCATTTGCTGTATACAGAATTTCTTACACAACTGCCTCCACTGCCTGAGTATCATGACTGTGCCAGGGCCCTGGCCTATGAGTATCATGCCATCCCGTCAGAAGGAACAACAGAAGAAGAAACAGAAGACGAAAGAGAAGAAGATCTTTGCCCATTGCGGCCAGCCATCGAGGAAGAGTTGACCGTAGAACAGCGAATGAAGATCGATATGGGTATTGAAGCTGCGAGTGCGGCGGCAGAGTTTGCGGCGATGATTGGAGATGCCGATTACGTAGTAGCATTCTGGAGGGAATTGGCTGTTGTGGAAGCACACTGTCCAATGATTGGACGCGCAGAAATCATCACCCGCTGCGACGACCTGAACGCGAGCAGAGGACATCCGAGGCTCTGGGACTTGGTCGGCATGGACCCTTTTCCAGTGCGACTCGAAAGGAGGACAGAAGGAGAAGCTGCGAACCCCAGCGAGAGAAGCCCAGAGCAATTGGCCGTACAGCGCTTCATGGCCACTGTCAATGCGGGCCAGAGGGCGCATCGGCCTCTCCGTGCAGTAGCCACGCAGTGCTCGACGCAGGCTAGGTCCGTGTTTGTCCGTGTCGATGCGGTTAGTCCGCGGATAGAGATAGAGGAAGAACAAATGTATGCAGGTGTTTATGCTGCGACTGCGGCGGCGGAATTTGCGGCGATGATTGGAGATGCCGACTGCGGAGCATTGGTATTCTGGAGGGAATTGGCTGCTGTGGAAGCACACTGTCCAATGATTGGACGCGCAGAAATCATCACCCGCTGCGACGACCTGAACGCGAGCAGAGGACGTCCGAGGCTGCGGGACTTGGTCGGCATGGACCTTCCTCCAGTGCGACTCGAAAGGAGGATATAAGAAGAAACTGCGAACCCCAGCGAGATAAGAGCAATTGGCCGTACAGCGCTTCATGGCCACTGTCAATGCGGGCAGTCCGCGGAGAGAGGAGGACAAGACGTCCTGAACGCGAGCAGAGGACCGAGGCTGAGGGATTTGGTCGGCGGCGACCCTCTCCCAGTGCGACTCTGCTGTAGACGATGTGAGGTTGCACTGCAAGCCATAGTCAATGATTAGCGGACCGCTGAAAGTACGGCTTCTCGAGCTGACCGAAAAAATGTTGTGGTTCAGCGGGGGGTTGGGTGGGGCGATCGGTATGCGCCTCTGCCAGACATCGAGACGCAAGCACGAATTTAGCAGTTTCGCTGGAGCACCTGAAACTGCGTCCGCCGTTGGGGCTCGACACTTTTCGGTTGGCGGCGAGGCGTTGTGTTTGGAGTTATAGTTGAATTCGTTATTATAGCATGAAGCCTGCGACGCACTCGCATGCCATTATCATAGATATATAGTTTCACCTTCCACGTCTGGCTTCCTGTGAGTGTTACCCAGGGGTCTCTGTAGTTACGGCTTGCGGCAAGCGGTAAGAAAACACAAACCATGCTAGGGATAAGCGGTACGCGCTCAGCCTCCGCCTGTTGCATTTACGATTACGGCTTATTGTAAGTGGTAAGCGTCGCCCCCGCTAGGAGCCCCCTAGGAAGCTCCAGCAGGCCTCAGGAGGGCCCCATGATCCACGAAGCGTCGCGGGCACAGAAAGTCCAAGCGGCGCCATAACACCGGCCGATTCGTGTAATATCGGCGACAAGGTCTTCCAAAATCGGGCGGCGTTATGGCGCCGACCCCGCCCTCCTCTCATGAAGCCCCAGGAGGCCCCCGGGAAGCCATTAGGAGACGCCAAAACGCCCCAGAAGGCTCCAGGAGGCCCCCAGGAATCCCCAAGAGGGCCGCAGGGTCCAATCAGCGTCGCGGGCACCGAAAGCCCAAGCGGCACCATAACACCAGTCGATTTGGGCAAAATCGGCGACCAGTTCTTCCGAAATCGAACACGTTATGGCGCCGACCCCCCCTCCTCCCAGGAGGACCCCGGGAAACCATTAGGAGACGCCAGAACGCCGCAGGAGGTTCCAGGAGAGTAAATATGCTCCTCTCCGCCTCATCTTACACTTGCCTCTCTCGCTGCCTTCCTTGCCAACCCTTGACCCTGCGGTTTCGTACCGCAGCTATTTGTGCTTACAGGGTAGAAAAGGAGCGCGCCTGCCCTCGGCCGCCGCGTGTCGTCGGTCGTCGGCCGGCCGGCCTCCTCCCTTCCCACTCCTGAGTACAAGTGCTTAACGGTTACTTGTAGTTTCATCGATGTCTCATACCGTATCGTCTACTACTGAGCAGAGTCAACATGAGACCTTAATTCCTTTGTCATCTTACCCCGATTCTCAGAGGAAGGACTGGTTATCAGCCGAAACCCGCGACCGAGTCGCAACAGGGATGAGCTATGATGAGACAGCCGAATTGCTCGTCAGAGCCGAGCTAGCATCACAAGTTGTACAACATGACGGGCAAGAACCACAGGACGGCGGCCCGGGGAGGGGCAGCCTTCCCTCTTCTTCTATCGCCTCACGGGCCTCTCATGGAAGGAGCAGGGGAGAAGTTATAGATTTTTCCAGACGCGATTCTCCCTCTCGAATCCCGATCGGTGATCGTGAACAGACCCCAGACCCGACGAGGCGGGACGGCACAACAGCAAAGATAAGACGAGGGGCATTATCGTCGTTAATTGCCGTATCTTCGGAAACAATAAACTCCAGCCCGATTGCTACGCGGACTATTGTGCCGGCCGCTGGCCAAGCCAGCGGGTCGGGAGAAGCTGAAGGGTCCAGAGGCGCGTGCCCCACCGTCCCAGACGGATGGGGAAACGCACAAGGGATGCATCCCATCCCGATAGTCCTGAACGGACAGACCGGCCAAGACAGTGATGAACAGTTTGATGATGGGAACGATATTAACTCCATGGAAGAAGACATTGAGCATGCCAACTATCAAGTGTCATTTTGCCGAGATTTGTCCTCGATAATGGATGCAGACCACCCCGTCCAAGACGAGAGGTGGCCCCCCTGGGCAGGATACAATTGATTACGATCAAGTGGGAACCCTCGGGGAAGCATTTGCAATACCAGACGCGGACATTGAGATAAGTGACCTGGCGCCCCAGGCGGTCGAGGTGGAAATGGAATGTCAGACTTAAGCGAAGCATGACCGGGAGATCACAGGACGAACTCCCGCTCCTCAACTCAAGAAGCAAAGGAATGTGGACTATGACTTGAATGATTCTCCGCTTCAGGAAGGGTCCCATCGAACTGCCGTCGCCGCAGGCGATTGGCAACCATCGATACCCGTTGCAGTTGAGGACGATGAAATGATCAGCCCCCCGGCCTCGCTGGATGAGTTGCTTAGACAAGACGAAAGGGATGAGGAGCTTCGAGAGGCGGCTGGACCGCCAGAGAGTACGCACACACGTCCCAGATCGAATGCTTCGAGCTGGGGAAGGCCCAAAATCCCCAGATCTGGAGCTCGATCCACTTCGAGGAGCAACAGCGCGATTTCCACGCGCGAGACATGCTGGAACTGGGGCCCCAACTGCCCGCCCCGGGCGGAGAACAGGTGCCCGGGGAAAGCCCGCAAGCCGAATGGAGCATGTAGGCGCCCAGCATGTAGAAGTTGCTCAGACGTGCGCCCACATTGTAGCAATCAGTGGTTGCGTGTAGACCGTATGCCGATGGAAGAGCACAATTGCTCGCACCTTCTCACCCAGGCGATGCAAAATCAGGCTAGATTTGTTGAGGCCAAAAGCCAGCAAGAATTCCTGACCCGCGAAGCCCAGAGGGCCGAGAAAGCCCGACTGGACCGAGAAGAAATGAATGCAGTCGTTGAGGACGTTTGAAGACGTTCGAAGCTGAGAGACTCGCTATGGCCCAGGCGGTCAGAGAGCGGGAACAAGAACTGGTGGAACAGATGCCCCATCAAACCGCGGCTGCCAAGCAGCGCGCGGAAGAAGAAGTCGATAACAGATATGTTGAGATGATAGCTTCCGAACGACAGGCCGTTATGGCGGCGAACAGTCAGTCCGTTGATGCCAAGACCGCAACCGCCGTTGTTGCGGCGGCGAGAATAGAAGGAGAGAGGATCGCCACAGCCAGGGCAGCACAAGAAAGACAGGAGCTCCAAGAACAACTTCAAACTGCCAGGCTGGAAGCGGCCAATACCCAGATTGTAGCTGCGACGATAGTTGATCAGAATAATCAATATCGAGAAGAGCTCAAGTTTCATGAGAACGCCAGAGCATCCCTTCAGCGTATGCAGTTGAGCGGCAGTACGTGCCCACCGGCCAGGCCGGCTGGGGCGAGCAGACGGCCGTCGCCGGCGGCCCAGCCGTCCGGCGCAACGCCCATGCAGGCCCAGTCTGGCTCGACGACCATAGTGAGCGTGATGCCGCCGATGTTGAAGGTGAGGGCTGCGTCGCAGCCACAGCCCGCAAAATGGGGCGATGAAGAGAGTTGCTCGACTTGCATCAAACCGAAAGTAGGAGATTGCGCCACTCGTGGACTGCCAGGTTGCAAAGATCACTTCGACGCGAGCACTAAACGGTGTTCTGCATGTACTCAGAAGAAGAGTTTGCCGGCATAACAGGAGAAGTGGGATGAGCAATGGCAACGCTTAATGTTGATCATGACTTTCGGGCCCAACAGCAGAAGTTCCTCGGCGAATGCAGCGCCGACAAACTTAATGTTCAGCGAATGAAGGAGCAAGCTGAGGAGCAGATTAGACTGAGCTCAGAAAGGTCAGTTGCCAACATCCGGGAGAAGGATGAGGCTTTGGCGCGCGCAGTTGCATCAGAGAGAGAAGTGATGAAGCTCAAAGCTATCAGCACAAAGCCTTTTCCGCATGGTGAAAAGGGGCAGGGAAAATTTCCCAACTTTAGTTCATTTTATATGCCTTTGCTTTCACAGGAAGCGCCCGTGAGGCCTGTCATGCGACCCAACTTTACTGGTCCTGGCCCTGCAATCGAAGGTCTGGCCAAGCCGAGTACCTCCGATAATGGTTTACCAGTCAATATGAATTTCACAGGTAGCAATGACGACATTTGTCGATTAACATCCGTTCTCCAGGGGCGGGCACGTGGGACCGCCAGCGGCCAAGCCGTCTGGCGGAAACAAAAACCATGGGCCAGCGGCCACGCCGTCGGGCGGGGCAGGACAGGACAAAGATGGGGACGACAGCAGTGTCGCACCAGGTACTGAGATTTTGTCGGCACTCAATGACGCTATCCGCGACCGACCAGAGAAGCCGCCCCCAGGGAGTCCGGGGGGGCCTGGGCCCCCAGGCGGTGGAGGCGGTCGCGGCGGACCTCAGGGCCCAGGAGGGCCACGTGACCCGGGAGGCCTCGATGAGATTACCCCGTTGAACCAGTGGAGACAGGTTGGAAACAATCAGAAAGTTGACATGATGGACATTCCAGATGTTACAAACATACGGGAGTGGCAGATGCATGCAGTCCGCGCGATTGCTGGATCATCTCCTGAGATCCAAGCAGCACAGCGCTGGATCACGGAAGCTATGGGCCCTGCAGTGGATGACGAACAGCTCAAAAACCCAGGTCGCTTCCAACGTCTTGACATCATGGTCGCCACAAATTTGATTGAGAAGTTCACCAAAATGCGTAGGAATCGCGGTCTGTCCAATAATCATACACACTTCCTTCAACAGATCAGTCGAATGGAGTGCGGCGCCCAGAAGAGGAGAGTCTCTTAACGGGACGCGAGATGGTACGAGCCATTTGCTACTGGCGTTCTGTTAGATCGGAATTAGGTCAACATCGCATTTCGCGTGATATCTTCAAGGCAGTCATTGACCCCAATTAGCGAGATGCTAACTTATATCATGTATATAATGAGTGGACAGACGTTTACCAACAGCTCTACGGTGTCCGACCTCCACCTGATGAGATGAGAGCTTCGATTCATGCACACTTCATCGAGCAACGCAGGAAGCCTAAGAAGGTAGATTTCGTTTGCCAGCTTTACGACTTGTCCAAGACAAGTTAGGAGAAGGCGTAAGGTCTTACGAATGGCTCATGACTCAGGTTGAAGGGATGATGTTGCGTGACAAAGAAGAATGGAACATCCGCGCGCATGAGAGCACTCTGAACCAACGTGCCCGACAGGCGCGACTGGGCGGAGGTGGGGGCAATAGCTATGACAATCGTCGGCATGCCAACGGCAAAGCCGCTCCGGCAGAAGTGGCAGCACGTCTCGGGAAACCCACGGATGTGATGAAGAGTGGTTTGACTAAGGGCGAGACGACGTGCAAGTTTGTACGCGAGGGCCAGACCTGCCCGAATGCAGGTCAAGGATGCCCGTTTAATCATAAGAAGCCCAGAGCTGCCGCACCGGCCCAGCCGGCTGCGGGGACCAAGTCAAATGCCGCTCCGGCTCAGAACAAGAATCCCAGAGGGAGACCTGAGAAACCCGATGGCCGAGGCCGAAAGGGGCAGAGCCGATCACAGACTCCGACGGGTGGCCATGGAAAAGGAGCGCAACAACGCAACAGGAGTCAGTCCAACCGTTCGCGCGGAAAAGAGAGCACGCTGCCATGTTATGCTTGGTCGCGGGATCCCAAGAATTGCCGTGGATCTGCAGACGGTTGCAACAGGCAACACAGTTCTTTGACCGATGCAGAAAAGCTCAAGCGCGATAAATATGAACAAGCGAAGCTTGATGCTGGACAGTCTCTAGGATATGAGCGAACAGCTAAACAAGCCAATGCCGCAGCTGCCAATGTCTCCTCCACTGCGGGTGATAGTGGCTCTAGGGCCTCTAGTAACAGTTCAGAGAAACGCAAGAAGGACGGAGACAAAAACAAGGGCAGAGGCAAAGGCAAAGACATGATGTGTCGCTCTTTCAAGGGAACAGGCGCATGCACGCGTGGTAAAGATTGTTGGTTTGCCAAGACCACGACAGGCCATCCGCGACATTGGCTTCGCACTGGCGGCCCAGCCGCCAGTGCTGGAGGACTGCTTGGTATAATTTTGTTAAGGGTACTCTCTCTCATCTTCCTCGCTCGGTGGATGCGGCGACGCCCGCGTCGGTCAAACCGAAAGCGGGGGGGAAGGAAGTCAGCTCGGGTGCCATTGCGCGCCCCGCCCCGTTAGCTCGGGGCCTTCCTGGGCATAAGCAGGCCGGCCCCCA